AAAAAAAAAAAAAAAAAAAAGCAAGCAAGCAGAGAAGTAGAGAAACACTTAGCCCTGTCTGGGAGTCATCTTTATTTTATTTATTTATTTATTTTTGAGTTGGAGTCTCACTCTGTCACCCATGCTGGAATGCAGTGGCATGCTGGGCTCCAGCAATCCTTCCTCCTCAACCTTCCAAATAGCCAGAACTACAGGAGTGTGCTACCACACTCAGCTAATTTTTTATTTATTGTAGAGACAAGGTCTTGCCAACTTATCCAGGCTGCTCTTAAACCTGCAGGCTCGGGCAATCTTGTCTTGCCTCCCAAAGTGCTGGTATTACAGGCTGAGCCACTGGGCCTTTGAAGAGAGAACATTTGCTCTTAACAAATGAGCAGGAGACCAGGAATTAGTCTAGAGTTGTAGCAGAGTGGACCAAGAAGATATCCCAGACGAAGGGAAAAGCATGAGCAAAGACAGGCATACTGACATGCTGAGCTACAGCTGTGGTCTAGGCTTTTGGAAGTAGTTGGAAAGTAAAGGGCATCTGGAGGTTTTACACTGCGGAATAGAAGGCAGGGTCACAGGGTGGAACCGAACTCACCCTGAATCCTCACAACTGATGCTCCCAACTAGAGTCTCCCACCCCAGACCCCTCAACCTGTGGGTATCGTAGCCTTCCAGCTCTCTCTGTTATCTCTAGATTGTCTACAACCTGCTGTCTCTGCGTTTCAACTCTCGGATCCGTGTGAAGACCTACACAGATGAGCTGACGCCCATCGAGTCCATTGTCTCTGTGCACAAGGCAGCCAACTGGTATGAGAGGGAGGTGAGTTACTGGGCATCATGAGCCAGAGTTGCAGAACTGGTTGGAAATGTGGGAGGCAGTGCAGCCCCTCACCCCTGTGGTTGACCCTGATGGACTGGTTGCTTGCGGGTCTCTCTCTTCCAGATCTGGGACATGTTTGGAGTCTTCTTTGCTAACCACCCTGACCTAAGAAGAATCTTGACAGATTATGGCTTTGAGGGACATCCTTTCCGGAAAGACTTCCCCCTGTCTGGCTATGTTGAGGTAAGAGATTTGGAACTGGGCGTGATGGCTCACGCCTGTAATCCCAGCACTTTGAGAGGCAGAAGCAAGAGGATTGCCTGAACCCATGAGTTTGAGACCAGCCTGGGCAACTTGGCAAGACCTCGTCTCTACAAAGAATTTAAAAACTACCCAGGCGTGGTGCATGCCTGAAGTTCCAGCTACTTGGAAGTCTGAAGTGAAAGGATTGCCTGAACCCATCAGATCGAGGCTGTGATGGCTGTGAGCACGCCACTGCACTCCAGTCTGGGCAACAGAGTGAGACTCCCACCCCCCCAAAAAAAGAGATTTGGAACTGAGGCAGCGGCTTTAAGGAGGGAATTACAGGGCACTTGGGGATCCTGGGCATGGCAGGAAATACGGTCAGTGGATCGTGGTGGCTTAAGAGCATGGGTTCAGCTGGGCTAGGTGGCTCAGCCTGTAATCCCGCGCCTTTGGGAGGCTGAGGTGAGTGGATTGCCTGAGCCCGCGGGTTTGAGACCCGCCTGGGCAG